CCCTTCCTAATTAAAAATCTGTCTTTCTCAGCCTTGAATATACTTAACAACCGAGGCTCGACAGCGATCTGTGGGAAAGAATTCCACAGACTCTGAAAGAAGAAATTACTCCACATCTCTGACTTAAATGGGTGACCCCTTACCCCGAGATGATGCCCTCCAGTCCTCCTCATTGTTCGGTTTCCCATCACAAGCTCACACTAAGTGCAGGGAAAAATGTATTTCTTGAGCTGACTTGGTTTAGTTGAAAAGCTGAACATAGGGTCTGTACAATATTTCACAATGGCAAGATCCTCCGCCTCAGTTGGTTGGAGAGGTCAGAGATTGCAGGACCCAGTGAGAGTAATTCATATTTTCTGTGATTCGGTTGTAAGTGTTCAAAACCTCAGTCAGGACTGGGTGCTGACTGACATTAACCAGGTGGCCCCCTTGAGACTGAGCCAGATAATAACAAGAAACTGGAGTTATAGGAAGGGAACGGGACCACAACAAGACTTTCATTTTATTCATACATGGGATGGGAGCATCGCTGACTGGGCCAGCATTTATTGTCCATCGCATAAGAGCCAACCATATTGCTGTGCATCTGGTGTCACATATAAGCCACCCAGGTAAGAGTGGCAGATTTCTTTCCCTAAAGGACATTGGTGAGCCAGCTGGGTTTTTCCAACACTTAATGGCAGTTTCACAATCATCATTAGGTTGTTTTCATTGAATACAAATTCCACATTCTACCATGTCTGTGGCGGGATTCAAGCCCAAGTCCCCAGAACATTACCTGAGTCTCTGGATTAACAGTTCAATGATAATACCACTAAGCCATCACCTCTATAGTTCACCTCAGTCCATCCCAAACCCCGATGGAAATGCTCAGTCTCTTCTTCTGATGGAATACTAGTGTTTCCCCTCTGTCACTGAACCTTCCAGCGCAAGTCAGAGCCTTAGAGCTTTAGAGTCATACAGCACGAAAGCACAACCTTTGGCCCTACTTGTCTGTGCCATCCTGGTTTCCCAAACTAAATTGGTCCTATTTACCTGCACTTGGCCCATATCAGTCTAAACCGTTCCCATTCATGTACCTAACAACATTTCCATTAAAAGTGACTTGCATTTGTATAGTGCCTTTCATGACCTCAGGATGTTGTAAAGGACTTTACAAACAATGACGTACTTTTGAAATGTTGTTATGGGGCGTTGAGTTGTACACAGTGAGATCCTGCAAGGAGTCGTGTCATAGTGACCGGATCATCTGATTTTTAGTGATGTTAACTGAAGGGTAACTATCAGTCAGGACACCAGAGACAACTGCCATGCCCTACAGTGCTGAAAGAGGCAATTCAGCCCATCAAGTCCACATCAACCTTCTTAAGAGCATCCCAACCAGATCCACCCTCTTGCTCCACAATATCCCTGTAATCCTCAATTAAGCACGGCCAATCCACCTCACCCGCACACCTTTCAACTGTGGGAGGAAACCATAGTACTCGGCAGCAATCCTCACAATATTCCAGAATGGCAAGATCCTCCACTAAAGTCGGTTAGAGAATATGCACACTCCACACAGACTGTCACCCAACGCTGCAATCAAACCAGGTCCCTGGTGCAGTGAAGTAGCGGTGATAACCACTGAGACACCTGGGATCTTGGGCAGATGGGGAGACATCTACAAGGACAATGGGCAGCAGACACATGGGAACACCACCCCCTGCGGGTTCCCCTCCAAGCCACTCACCGTCCTGACTTGGAAATATATCACGGTTCCTTCATTGTCGCTGGGTCAGAATCTGGAATTCCCTCTCTAAGGCATTGTGGGTCTACCCATAGCACAGAGGCTGCAGGTTCAAGAAGGCAGCTTACCACCACCTTCTCAAGGCAACTAGGGACAGGCAATAAATACAATGCCCACATCCCACAAAAGAATATAAAAAGTTTAGCAGCTAAACTTAAAGACAGCCCTTCTGACATGGCGGCACTCCCTCAGTACTGACCCTCCGACAGTGCGGCACTCCCTCAGCACTGACCCTCCGAC